TTGAAGAGACAGCGCCCCGCATCACCTGACATGCCTCACGCTGCCCTCTCCCCCCATCCCTGCCTCTGCCCTCCGCAGGTATACTTCGGGGCAACCCTCACGCGCTTCGTAGCTCAATAGGGAGCTACAACGAAGGCCCCAGGGAGGGGAACCACATGCGGTCCCCGAGCCATTTCGGCACACCCCTCACACGTGTCGTGGCCCTCACAACTGAATATGATTGGGCCTTCCGCCCAGATAAATCTCACAGCGGGCGTTATTGCCGGGTGTCTGGCCTTGGAACCATCACAGTTCGAGATGGGGTCAGGGGCCTTGCTTTACTCGATGTTGCAGTTTTCTCGCGACGTCGGATCTCAGGTGGCTCACAGTTTCTGGCCGCTGAAGGCTCTCGTCGGGCCCCAGGGCCGTCAGAGACGGTCCGCGGCGGCGACAACGACGGCAGCGACGACGACCCAGAGCACCGTGTTCAAAACAATCGGAAGGGAAAGGCAGAATTGGCGCGCTCCTCGCCCCGGGGAGGAGTGTCCGGCGCCGGTCCAAGAGATCTTCGCGGACCTCCGAAAGTCGATTCACCAACCCTCTTGCGTTCGTTCCTCGTTCTGAAGGGAGCACTGCGGTCGCACGCGCCCTCTCCCGCCTCCTTCCTGCCTGCCTGCTGCCCTGCCAGCCTGCCTGCCCTCTGCCCCGCCTCCTGCTTGTCTGCTGCCCTGCCTCCTCGCCGTCGCTCTCCTCCTCCTCCTCCTCCTCCTCCTCCTCCTCCTCCTCCTCCTCCTCCTCCTCCTCCTCCTCGGGGGGGCTGCGAAGCGCGAAATTTTCGCGCCACTTTCGAGGGCTGCCGGGGAGCCCAGCGGAGCGACGTCATACGCGGATCGGAGCTAGACCTCGCCGTCCTTGGGGGACTGCGATTTGCGGAACCGTCGCCATTTTCGAGGGCTGCTGAGGGTCCAGCGGAATGGCGTCATCTTGGGTCCTCCGCTCATGCCGTAGCATGGGCCCAGGCCGGTGAGCAGGCCGAGCGAGACGCAGCGGGCCCCCGCGATACCGAGGACCCGCGCAGATGGGACCGGACGAGGACCTCCTGTGCATGGCTGGGTATGACGTAGTGGGCCAGACACGGAGCCAGGGAGACAATGTGGCAGTTCCACATGGCAGCACGTCGCCCAGCCGAGACCCGCGAGACGCAGATGGCTTGGGCACAAGGCCCAGCCTTGGACACGGCCTTGGCCCAAGTGCTGTCCCGCATTGATTCCATCTGCTCGTCTGCGTGCTATCCCGCGTGCCCGTGGTCGGCTGGTGCAAGACGTACAGGTGTTGCCGAGGTACTGCCAGGACGCGCGGACAGCAGCGGAGCCGAAGGGGAGGCGTACGTGACGGTGCGCCACCAGTCGTAGTCGCTGGCAGGGACCAACGCCGTCTTCAGCAAGCATCGACACTGGTGTGCGAAGACTGGCGCCGCGTGTCGCGCTCTCCCGGGCTCTGGCAGTGAGGAGAGCCAAGGCCATTTGGGGGGCCAGGCCCGTGACGACGGTGCGACCGTCGTCGCCCTCCTCCAGGGCGAGCGGGAGCTGCGCGACCGCGGCGCACAGGGCGGGGGGCGGGCGCTCGAAGAGGAGCCCCCGACAGGCATGAGTGGAGATGCTGAGCCCCGCCGCCCAGGCGAGGCCAGGGGAGGAAAATGGCGACGCGGAGCGTCTGCGCGGCGTCGGAGAGGAGCGCGGCGAGGTCGTCGACGTAAGCAGCGCCGGAAATGACGGTGTCGTTCGCAACCAAGGCGCTGGCACGAGGGGGGCGCCGATCCCCCCGTGCCTACCGACCAGAGGAGCTTGCGAAAGGAAGGGGGGGTTTTGAGGCCCGCACTGATGGACTGGACGTGGCGCCCAGCCACGAGGGCCATCAGGCCGCGGCGGGGCCGTGGTGGAAGCGCCATGGCAGTAGCACATCGCCAAACAATTGGATGGAAAGCGGGTCGAAGGCCTTTGTCTGGTCGGTGAAGGCGACGGCGTTGGCATGGGCCTGGGGGGGCTGGTGGTGGCATTCCGAACGTATTCTTCGGCGACGCCGACGTCGATCCCAAGGAGAGCTTCCCAGGTGGAGCCAGGAGGAGAGGGAGCACTCGGGGCGGCTGTCAGGTGCGCCATGGCTCTGGCGATGTCGGGCCCGCAGCGCCCCCCTTTCACCGCAGCCTGGTCCGCCATGAGGTGGGGCTCGATCGACTACGCCTTAGGCGATGCTTAAGAAAACTTAAGTTTTCGGCCAGAGTCTCGATTATTCTTAACTTTTCAATGTAAATCACAAGATTTTGGTAGAAGTTCTGGGTTTTATTCAATTTCTGAGACTATGAATTTCTTAACCCATGATTTCTTAAGCATTTCGCAGGGTGTACAAGCAAGAGTGACCCTTCGCCGGAGTGACCTTTGGCGCAGGCCCACTGGGGCCCCCCAGTCGTTGAGAGCGATGCCATAGCAGCAGCCTGCGCGGCCTTGGGTTTGGCCCTCGCGGCCCGCAGAAGCCGCGCACCAAAGGTCACTCTTGCCTTTGGTCACTCTTACTTAGGAGGGAAAGAAACACACAGACACAATTACTCGTCGACTCCCAGGAAGATATGGGAAAATATGGGAAGCGGGGGGGAAGACAAAAAGCCAGAAGATATGGGAAAATGTGGGGAATTGTTTTATTTGTGTGTATTTGTTTGTGTGTCCTGGGGCCCCTTCACTTACGTGCAGACGACTCGGCCATCGGGCCAACGGCGTCGGCGATGGCTCCGGCGGTGCCACGCAGTCTGCGGCAGCGGGTGGGCACTTGGGCCCTCCGGCCTCTCTGCGCTGGGGACCTCGGGGATCCAAACCGGGAGGTCCACCGAGGGGCCCACGAGGAGGAGGAGGAGGAGGAGGAGGAGGAGGAGGAGGTCCGTACACCCTAGGCGATATTTAAGAAAACCCAAATTTTCGGCCAGAGTCTCGATTATTCTTAATGTTTCAATGTAAATCCCAAGATTTGAATCGACATTCTGTGTTTGTAATCAGATTCTGAGACTATGAATTTCTTAACCCATGATTTCTTAAGCATTTCGCAGGGTGTAGCCATTTTGGCTCAAGCCATTTGGTTCAAGTAAAACATTTCTCGAGGTTGGTCCAGCGTGACCACTCCCCGACAGGCCCCAGAGAAGCCCCAGGACGGGGGCCTCCGCTTTTTCTCGCACTGCAGCTCTGCTACCACATACCCAGTCTCTGCTACTGTGCCTGCCTTTCTTGTCGCTCGACAGTTCTGTTTGCGGCAACGGCGCGATGGCAAAGCGGCCGCGATGCTCGAGGCACTCGAGGCGATGCCCACCTTCCCCCAGTCGCAGGAGGTCGCCACCCCACACCGTGTTGGTCCTCTTCTCCATCATGATGTGGTGGCTCCTGATGGACAGCCCCCACACAAGCGCGTAGTTCTCTCGTCCTCTCATGGTGCCCCAGACGGCAAGGGCTGGGGCAAAGGCCAGCACTGTAGTTCTGGAGACGGAGCTGATGAAGCAGGTGCAGCTGGAGGCGTTACCCCTCTCCCTGGTGGCGGCGCTGGTTCCAGCTCGAGTGCAGGTGATCAACTTCCGCATCAGGGAGCAGATGCCAATGTTGAGCGAAGTGTCGGAGCTCCCGCCGCCGTGCCCCATTCTCACGACATTGTCGCGATCAGAGCGCATGTGGATGCTATTCAGGCGGCGCTGCAACAGTCCATCTCGGCGGTGCAGAACAGCGTGCAGGCATCTCTCACAACGATCTCCAATAGCATCACATCCCCCTTCCGTGACATCAGCCACACGATGGAGACGCGTATTGACCGAGTGGAAAATCGAGTGTACGAACATGTCAAGCGTATTCCGCGACTGCAACATTTCTGAGAACGAGTATACCTTCGACGAGCGGGAGCCGTCGGGGACCAAGTTCACGATGCGCTTCGCGGGCTCGAAGAACTACGCCGAGCGCAAGGTCAATCTGGTTTTGGGCGCGCTCAAGACCTCCTCCCAAGGCAACGACCCGCCCGTGTGGCGGACCTTCCGTGCTGAATCCATCGCTGACGGCGCCATCAACATCTACGTCGGTCCAGACAAGAACACGGAGATGGTTCGCCGTGAGCTGGAGGCAAGAGAGTCAAAGCGGCGCTGGTCAGAGAGATCCTACAGAGGCGTTTCTTCATGGATAAGAACAAGGGTGAGATCTTGCTTGGCTGGAAACACACTTGCAAAGTTGCCCCCGTCGAAGGCAAAGGCATTCCTGACATTATGTGGACGAAGGAACACATGCGCCCAGAGGGCATGGACGTTCCGCGCTCACAGCAGCTTGCCTCCAAATCCTTCGGCCCCGCATACGAGACAGCGTGGAGCTCCTAGCATGTGCAGTGCCCTGTGGCATGGACAAGCACAGCGAGACGGCGCGGCTCACTTTAATATGCGACTGGCCACGTGGAATGCGAGGGCGCTTTTTCACCACGGTTGCACACTGAGGGCACGCAAAGTGAGGCTGCTGCGACGCCTGGTGCTTGATGGCAGTATAGTTGCCCTGCAAGAGACGCACGTTGCCCCGTGCTATGTCAGAGACCTCCTCTACTCCCTCCACCTCCATCTTCAGGCACACTGGTCGTTCCAGAAGGACTTCCGTACTGGGGGCTCGATCACCATTTCCCCTCGGCTCCTTCCCGCCGAGCCCCGCAGGGTCTTGACGGGCGGCGCCCTCCCCCTCGCACCCCCCCCTTTCCTCTGATCCCTGGCCGCGGATCATCATCATCATCATAATCAGCAGCATCATCATCATCATCATGATCAGCAGCATCATCATCATCATCATGATCATCATCATCATCATCACGGGGGGGGGCCAAAGGGTCCCAAATCGCCCCTGGTTTGGGAAGCACCTGCGCGGCTACGGGCACTTTCAGCAGCCCCGTTCCGTCTCCGCCGCGTCGTCGTCGTCGTTTTCCTCCGCCCTCTCCGCAGTCATTTGGGCTCAAGCCGTGCCGTAACCATGGACGACTTCCCAGCCATACCCGCTCCAACCCCTAGCTCGTCGAGCAAGCTGCAGCTGGAGAAGTTCTTGGACGCCTTGCACGGCCCGGCTGGCGCTGGTGCTGCCAGTGGCGCCACGCTGACTGAATTCTCCCCCAAGGTGTTGGCGCTGGACGTCCGGAGCCCTGGCGAGTTCGAGAAGGGACACATCCCTGGAGCGCTGAACGTGCCACTGTTCAGCGACGAGGAGCGCGCGACCGTTGGAACGAAGTATAAGCAGAGCGGCCGCTACGCGGCCATCCGGGCGGGGCTGGGCATCGTGGGCCCGCGTATGAGCAGGATATTGGAGGAGGTGGAGCAGCTCGGCGGCGTCCCGGGCCAGCGGGTGCTCGTGTACTGCTGGCGGGGCGGCATGCGGTCGGGCTCGGTGAGCTGGCTGCTCGGGCTCTGCGGCTTCGAGGTCGGCGTGCTGGAGGGCGGCTACCGCAGCTACCGCCGTTGGTGCAGGGCCACTGTAGGGGCCGCCGGCACACAGCCCCCCGCGCCCGTGGTGGTCCTCGGCGGGTGCACCGGCGTGGGGAAGACCGCGGTGCTGCTCGAGCTGGCGGCGCAGGGGCACCAGGTGGTGCGCTCCAGCGAGGGCCCTGCTTTCGAGGATCGAAGGAATTGCCATCTCTGCCTCGGCTGAGGGCGGCGGAAGGGCTGCGGAAGGCGGCGGAAGTAAAACGAGGCCGCCTCCGCTGGCGGAAGGCGGCGGAAGGGCTGCGGAAGCCGGCGGAAGTAACACGAGGCCGCCTCCGCCAGCAGAAGTTTGCGGAAGGGCGGCGGAAGGTGGCGGAAGTAAAAGAAACGCCCCCAAGAGATGACAGCATTTTTGGGTTCAGGGTTTCCGGAATTCGCCAGGTGGTGGACCTCGAGGGAGCTGCCAACCACCGGGGCTCCGCGTTCGGCTGGATGGGCCAGGCCCCGCAGCCCAGCAACGAGGCGTTCGAGAACGCGCTCGCGCTGGCGGCCCGGCAAGCCGACGCGTCGAGGCCCATGTGGTTGGAGCACGAAGGGCGTCACGTGGGCACGTGCGCCGTGCCGGCGGCGGTGCTGGGGTGGGTGCAGGCTGCGCCCGGGGGGGGGATGATCACGCTGGACATGGCACAGGAGCTGCGCGTGCAGCGGCTGGTGGAAGACTACTGCAGCGAGGCATGCCTCCAGAAGGAGGGCTGGGTGGAGGGCCTCCGGCAGTGCATATCGGCGAAGAAGGGCGGGTTGGCCAAGAAGCTCGGCGGCAACCGGGTGAAGGAGGCGCTGCAGCTGCTGGAGGAGGGCGAGTGGAGCAGGGTGGCGGCCATGATGCTCGACTACTACGACAAGTTGTACAAGCAGTGGCAGGCGGACAGCGCCAGCCTCCACGTCGTCCGCGTGGAGTGCTCCACGGCCGACGCCGCGGAGAACGCCGCTCGGGCCCTCGAGGCGCTCCCCGAGGTGCTGCGGCAGCCAAGCTGCCCCGCCTCAGCGCCCGCCTGCGCGGAGGCCGTGGTGGGCCGCGCGGCCGCGCCTACGGAGCCCGGCGGCGAGGTCAACGATGGGTGGCCCCGCTTCGAGGGCCGTTGCCACTGCGGCGAGGTGAGGGTCGTGGCGTTTGGGCAGCCGCGCGCCGTGAGCTACTGCCACTGCTCCATCCCGGAGAGGAAAAGCGGCACGGGCATAGATTTCGGGAGCTCCGCGTTGATTTCTCGCATCGGCGGCCCAGAGCACGCGGGCAAGGTGCTTCGCCAGAGCTCCAGTGGCACTCGGGTGGTGCTGGAGGATGGGGGTGCTGCAACGGGCAGCCGTGATGCTTCCCCCCACCGTTCATTTCTGGCCCCCAGGTCGAGACCGGGGGGATTGACGGGTGTGGACGGTGCGATGCCACCGCCGAAGCCCGATACATCTTCGTTGGGGTCCTGTAGATCGGCTGGGGATCCACCAGCATCGGTCCCATGTCGACACGGTTTCCAAGGGGGTCGGCCTACACCGTGGCCTTGCGCCGATCCAAGAACCCCGCGCAGACCTCCGAAAGTCTATGCCCATGCCGTTTGTTTCTTCTTCTGCCCATCTGCCGGCGGCTCTCGGGCGCCCCTTTCTCGTGCCAGGCGCTCTTTGCGCGCGAGCAGGTGGCCACCGCCCTGGAGCCGGGCGCCCAGCTGCAGGCAGGGCCTTTGCCGATGCGATGTCGATTTCGGCCAGCCCGATTTGATTCGATCCCGATGCTCCAGCGATCCAAGGCGGGCCGATGCTCGCGTGGCGTCGCTGCGCATCCATCATGGCGCGGCCGATCCAATTCGATTCCGACCCCGTGCCGACGAAAACCGATCCGACGAGCACTCCGATTTGATCCTATTTTCGGTCCGATGACGACCGATCCTAGCTTCAGGGAGCGCAGGGCACGCAGCAATGCCCTTGGTGCGCAGCTTTTGTGGGGCCGCAGGGGGGGGCCAACCCTAGGCACGCGAGCCGCTCTTGCCGCATCGCACGCAGCGCTCCGCAAGCCGCGCACCCACCCCAGACATGCGACGTCTATTGAGCCTTGCAAGGCGGCGTCCCCCCCCCAGACCTCCTCGCGTTGTGAAAAAAATGACGACGGGAGGTTTTTCGCCATCTTCGGCCTCCAGGGGCCCTTCCCGGGCCTCGGGACCGTCCAAAAAACGATTTCGGATGAAAAACCAGTCCTGGGGAGGGGGTCCAGACCTCTGGGGGTTGACGTCGTGAAAAACCACGGACGACGTCGGGGGTCTGGGCCCAGAGGCCCCGACCCTTTCGCCAGGGTTGGTGCTCCATCACAGGTCGTTTCCGGTACGGTCCCGGGGCCCGGCGAGGGCCTTCGGAGGCTGGAAGCGGCCAAGAATCGTTCGTCGTGCGTTTTTGTGCACGACGTGAGCATGACATGGAATGGTCACTCTTGCCTGTGGTCCAGGCCTCCCAAATTGGGTCCCAGCAGATGCAGTCGGAGGATCGCGGCTCGATCTGGAGACCATTTTTCTCCAAGCCGACAGCGCCAATGCATCGCCGACGTCGCCGATGCATCGGCGATGCGGCGCGATCCTCCGACCCCATCTGCCCAGACCCCCGACCTCTTGATTCTCTCATGACGTGGACCCCCAGCGGTCTGGACCCATTCCCCGGGACCGACTTTTCATCCTGAGCCGTTCTTTCACAGTCCCGAGGTTTGGTAAGGGGCCTCAGAGGGCGAAAAATTGTCGGCCTTTGGGGCCCCTTAACGGGATTTTGTCTTACTATTCGTAAGCAGCAAAACAAAAAATCCCGTCGTGGATGGTTTCGCGACCCGATGGGGTCTGGGAGCTGTGCAGGCTGGATCCATCGGGCCTCGGGCCCCCATTTGGGGTCGAGGAGGAGGAGGAGGAGGAGGAGGAGATCCCCCAAAAGCTTATCTCCCCCCGACGAGGCCGAAAAAAACTAGAAAAAAGCTTCCCGCCATGGCCTGTCCATGTCTCGAGGGGGGCGGGGCCCCCGGAGCGCATGCGGGAGGCCTCGCCCGCGGCCACGTCCTGCGGGCGGCGGGCCCAGGGTTCCGGGGGGCGGCCGCGCCGACCCCTGGCAGGCCATCCCTTCTCTGTGGCTCCTCCTCCCCCTCCTCCTCCTCCTCCTCTCCTCCTCCCTCCCTCCTCCTCCTCCTCCTCCTCCCCCTCCTCCTCCTCCTCCTCCTCCTCCTCCTCCTCCTCCTCCTCCTCCTCCTCCTCCTCCTCCTCCTAGACGTGCGCGTGCGGCCGGAGGGAAGCTCGGAAGCCGAGGGTGGCGCCACGGAAGGCGTTGGCGCCACGATCGGGGTCGGCGGGGCCGCGCCCGCAGGGCACGCAGAGCACGCGGAGCGTGGAGCGCCAGCGCTGCGCCTCCTGCCTCTCGCCGATGCAGGCCGCGCTCTTCGGCGGCAAGCTGGTGGCCGTGCCGCTCGCGCTGCTGGGCAGCTGGCGGGGCACAGGCTCCCGGTGGCCGGGGAGGAAGACGCTGCAGGGGCCGAGAGCGGTGCGTCAGCCCCCAGAGGTCTGGACCCCCTTTCCCGAGGACTGGCTTTTCCTCCGGAATCGTTTTTTGGACGGTCCCGAGGCCCGGGAAGGGCCCCTGGAGGCCGAAGATGGCGAAAAACTTCCCGTCGTCATGTTTTTCATCACGACGCGAGGAGGTCTGGGGGGGGGGGGAACGCCGCCTTGCAAGGCTCAATAGACGTCGCATGTCTGGGGTGGGTGGTCGGAGCCTCCAGACGCTGGCGATGCGCTTGTGTTCACGCCGGGCGGTTTCGCCAGGGCTCGGGGCCCGGGACCCTCACGGATCGATCGGGCTTGAAGAATGCACAAGACAGATAGGGCCTGGGGCTCCAAACGTGATTGTCCACGATATTCGAACGTTTGCACTCGGACTCGACGGCGGGTCTGAGGTGGCCCAGCATTGGTTCCGGCGAGCAGGAGGTCGGGCAGGTTCGAGGTTCTACGTTGGAGAAGGATTTTTGGCCTTTTCGGCCTCTGGGTCATTTTCGGGCCCCCAGACCGTCAGGAACGGATGCGGGGCGAAGAATTGCACCAGATGGACCCCAGGAGAGTTCCAGGGATTGATTCTGGGCTGATTTGGCCTCCCCTCCTCCTGACCGATGTTCTGGGGTCCCAACCAATTCAGCCCCCCCAGCCGCCTCCAAGAAGAGGCAGTCGTTCCTTTCCCTTAGCGATAACAGGCGTGACTGGGAGCGGGGGCGAGGAGGCCGGTCACGTCACGACTCGCGCCGGCGCCGTTTGATGGAATACCTAGGAATGGCTCATTCCCAGACGGCGCCGGCACGAATCGTGGCGTGACCAGGGATCTGGACGCCCGAAATGGGCACGGAAAGAATGGGTACTATGCCCAACAGCAGCTCCTGTTACAAAAGGGAGGGGGGGAGGGATATGGGGCGGGGCTGGTCACGGGCATCATCGCGAGATGGAAAGAAATAACTCAAGTTGGCGCGATCGACACGGGACAGAACGAGTGGGGACCGTCCCGCCCCACGGTGCTGGCGCTCCTCTCCGAGGTGGGGCCGCCAGCGTTCTCGGCCCACGGGGTCCACCTTGGCCTTGGGAGGCCGTCAGTCGGCGTGTGGCGACGACGACGACGACGACGACAACGAAGGCGAAGG